ATTCAATATTCCGTTTCAGCTGGAAATACGTCACTACACTGAAATTAAGTCGGCAGCAACTTCCGGTTCACGCTGACTTTAAGTTGCGTCCTTGAGGGACGTCATCGCGCGGAATGGCGACTTTGTCCCTAGATTTAGCTACTTTTTTCCAAAAAAGCGCCTAGCGACTTCCATGTCCACACGTACACGGGTATTTTTATAAACAAAGTTTTTCCTTCTTCCATTTTTAAAAAATCTCCATCCACTTGAAAACGCAAACACGTGTTATGAAGCACTGTCATGCCAAACCAACAGGTGGCGATATAATCTCAACCGTAAAGCCACGTTGGCCAATCAGAAGCCTGAAAAAGTCTCCAGTAGGCGGAGATAACAGCGCAGGCTCCGACGTCACAAGCCAAAAAACACAAGCCGGTTTCGCTGTCTACACGACAACACTGTTTTTGAAAATCTTCTGAGTTTTTGAAAATCTTCACCCTGGCAGGCGTCTTCAAAAATGTTCGGTTTCAGTGAACTGGTGCTGCTTTTGCGTGTGGACGAATGGCCTAACCGCGTAGAAAAAGCTGCGGTTTTAAAAATAACCACGTTTGTGTGGATACAGTCTATGGTGTGGACACGTACACGGGTATTTTTATAAACTGAGTTTTTCCTTCCTCCGTTTAAAAAAAAATCTCCGTCCACATGAAAAAGCAAACACATGCTATGAAGCACTGTCAAGAGCATGCCAAACCAACAGGTGGCGATATAATCTCAACTGTAAAGCCACTTTGGCCAATCAGAAGTCTGAAAAAGTCTCCAGTAGGCGGAGATAACAGCGCAGGCGTCGACGTCACAAGCCAAAAACTCCGGTTTCGCTGTCTACACGATAACACTGCAACCGGAGTTTTTGAAAATCTTCACCCTGGCAGGAGTCTTCAAAAATGTTTGGTTTCAGTGACCTGGTGCTGCGTTAGCGTGTGTACAAACGCCCTAACCGCGTAGAAAAAGCTGCAGTTTTAAAAATAACCGCGTTCGTGTGGACAGGGCCTAAATTCGGCGATTCGCCGGTACTGCCGCACGAGCGCGAGGTCTTGTTTTCCCAGCACGCACACTCCTCTCTCTGCTTTCAGTTAAAAAAGATATTGTGTCGCTTCTAATTCTATTTTACGTGCAAATATAGCCGAAATCGCAGCACAGCCATTGTCTTTATCTTATGTGTATTTGATTTCATTAGACCACGTCCTGATTCAGGATTTCTGTGCAGATTAACATCTAAAGGAGAGCTGGGCCGAGGTTTCAGTCACTATTTCATATTCATCCCGTTGTCTGACAACAGAAAAGTATATCAGTGAAAACAGTTTTATTGAGAATTTGGCTGCATTAAATTACAGTTTGTGAGCACAGAGGCAAACGAACGACGCGATGACGTCGCGAATATGCTAATTAGCGAATGACGTCATCCAGCGAGAGCGACTTTTCAAGCAGGCTTTAGCTGCTTTCAGTTGGCAACACCAGGGTCATTTCTCCATTTTCTGAGCTGTCTGACGTTACAGTGCCACTGGCACAAATTTGGGGATTGAAAAACTACCTTCCAGGTTTTTTCCTACACTTTTCCTCTCCGAGGCTGGATTTCATCGCGACTTTCAGTGCGCTCGTTGGCCAGGTGTTTTATTCCAAGCAAGAGGCTTGTTGCTCTTTGTTCTGTGTTGGGATCTGTTGGAGCGAAAGCATGGGAGCGCAATTCTCGAAGACAGCTGGGAAGGAAGAAACAGCTGCAGAAAACCCCTCCAAAGCTAACGGACAGGTAAACCCCGGCCATGGTGTTTGTTAAGCGAGTTCTGCTGGAGCCCCGCTTCCAACAAACACACAAATTAAACCGTTTCTGCACCCCAGAGACAGACTTTGTCAGTATCGAATTGAACTGAACTACGATCGTAAAATGTGTTTAATGTTGCTCGAATGTTTATATACTGCTTTAGAAATCCAGTTTTGGCGTTGTGTTTCCGGAGAAGCCTTTGTTTAGAAACGAGTAGCGTTGAGAATTAAAGATGGTTTATCCAAACAAACCAGGAGATGTGGAGAATAATTTAGTTTGAAACAGCATTTCTGCAGTCTTGGAAATCATCTTTTAGGGGGAAGTGTGGGTTGACTGTTAGAGTAACACAGGCTCGCCTCACCTTTAGTCGCAGATGCTGGATAGCCGCTTCAGTATCGCTGGCGGGAAACCACAGAAGAGCAGTTAAAACGGGTGTGTTTATCTTTACATTAAGTTGTGCCGTAATGGCCACTTATACAGTCTGTGTTTGTACAGGTGACGTGTGTGATGAGGTTCAAATTTAGGGGTGTGCGATATTGACAAAAAATTATATCTGATATTTTCTGGGATTTTATCGATAACGATAATTAGACGATATTTTGCTAAAGACAGCCGACTCCTAATGTTTTTAATATTCTTCATATTCGGTGTGGTGGTCAGTTCAATACTGATAGAAATTAATCTTTTCCAATAAGTTTAAACAGATTTTTGCATTTTATGGGCATTTTTAAATTTATAAAGCCATTTTCTCTAAAAGTGTCCATTATCTTTTGAGTCAAATTCTTACATTTAATCAGGGAATTAGAATAATAAGACATTTGGGCTGTTACCGAGCAAATTAAATCAACACAGAAGCTGCATCTGAAGTGGCATTTAGATGCATTTACACACATGTATTTTGTTTAACGCAAGACATGAATGCATTTAACCTGCAATTACAAATGCATAAATAATGTTTTGATATAGTAAACATAAAACGTTGAATACTGATATTTGAAATTATTTAAAACATGAAAAAAATCCGAAAAGAAAGAAAAAGCCGAAATTTGAAATTAAAACCGTCAATAGGTGGCAGCAAATCACTGTTAATAAGCGAGTCATTGCGATTGAACCGAATCATTTAAACGGTTGATTCATTCAGGAATGAAACACCGTCATGTTGCTCAGAGACGCAAAACAGCGCTGTGGCTGCATTCGGGATGATTTTTGTTGGCGAAATAGAGCAAAAACAAGCAATATGGTGTCTAAAACGTAAGTCTCTTAATTAACTTATTGTTTATTGAATTCAATGTCACATTTGTAATCATTGTAATTTTTGGAGAAAAACGGCACTCTTCATGTGAAATTGAATAACTATATGAAGTGGTATAAATATATACATTTTCTGCCATCATGTCTTGTCAAATCTTGATAATGTCAAATCGCACATCGTTAAAACAACAATTACGATATTATCGCAGACGATATATATCGCACACCCCTAGGTTCAATAATTATGTGCTGATCAGTTGCCATTTATTCCACGCGTTTATGGACAAACGGCGCCCACCGGTGGCAGTGGCAGTGTAATGGGCGTGCAAATGAGAGTGTTTACCCATAATGGTCTTTGATAATATCATATGTGACCCTGGACCACAAAACCAGTCATAAGGGTCATTTTTTGGAAATTGAGATTTTTACATCATCTGAAAGCTGAATAAATATGCTTTCCATTGATGTGTTTTGGTTAGAGTGGGAAAATATTTGGCTGAGGTGCAACTATTTTCAAATCTGGAATCTGAGAGTGCAAAACAATCTAAATATTGAGGAAATCGCCTTTAAAGTTGTCCAAATTAAGTCCTTGGCAATGCATAATACTAACCAAAATTTAAGTTTTTATATATTTACGGTAGTAAATGTACAAAATATCTTCATGGAACATGATCTTTACTTATTATCCTAATGATTTTGGCATAAAAGAAAAATTGATAATTTTGACCCATACAATGTGTTTTTGGCTATTGCTACAAATATACCCGTGCTACTTATTACTGGTTTTGTGCTCCAGGATTACATATGGATAAAATGGAAGCAGCCCCTTTCAGTGCATAAAATTGCATTTGTATTTGCAGCCTGCACTGTGTCTTGGTAGTGCTCATGTTAAGCCAAGCTTAATAATGATTGTGCCTGTGTTTTGCTTTAGGAAAATGGCCATGTGAAGGTGAACGGAGACACATCTCCAGCGGCTGCTGAAGAGATAGAAGAGGTTCAGGCTAACGGCAGTGCGGCAGCTGAGGAGGGAGAGAAGGCTGAGGCAGCTCCAGCTGAAAAGGAGGCTGTGGAGGGAGATCAAGCAAACACAGAAGTAAGTGCAGCCACTGAAGAGGAGGCCGCGAAAGCTGAGGAAGACGCAACTCCATCCACAAGCAACGAGACGCCGAAGAAGAAGAAGCGCTTCTCTTTTAAGAAATCCTTCAAGTTGAGCGGCTTCTCTTTTAAGAAAACCAAGAAGGAGATGGGGGATGGAAATGGCAGTGAGGAGGCCAAAACCGAGGGAGCTGAAGCTGTTGAAGGAGGTGTGTCAGAAGAGGAGGCGGCAGAATCCAAACCAGTAGAGGAGCCCGAGGCTGCCAGTCCTGCCCCTGAGGAGTCCAAAGAGGAGGAGAAACCCGCAGCAGTGACAGAGCCTGCTCCTTCTAAGGATGAAGCACCTGTAGCAGAGGAATCCACTCCCACTGTTCAAGAAGCAGAATCCAGTCCAGAGGTCCATGCAGAATCTGCCACAGAGTAATGTGCACAGTGCAGATCAACAGAGAAAGAGGGAGGGGGGGGCGACAACAACAATAGATAATCAAGGCATATTTCCCTGTTGTACAGTGGAGTGGTCCCAGGTTATGAGACGTTGGAGAACTAAAGAGCTTTTTAGTCTTTACTTTTTTATATATATATATTTTCCCTCTTCCCAAATCTCACTCTGCCTTTGTGGCTATTCCTGTAGCTGTGAAAAATGGGTGGCTACATTAAATAATACAGAAAAATTAGAATTAGTCTCTCATATATATTTTTGCATCAGTATTAACTGATGGTTTAGGGGTCAAAGAGGGGTGCAGGGATTGGGAATGAGGGTTTTTAATGGCACCTTGATGACTCAGCGTTACACCACAGACCATGTAGTAGTACAAAAAAAGAACGACCATTAATTCATCCACTACAGTTTTCAACAATAAAGCGATTTTTGTATATAATAACAAGCCAATTTAACTTGCAATGCCAAGTTTAAAACAGCAATTTTAAAAGTCCTGGGAACTTTAAACCCTTTTTTTAGCTGTAACAGTCTGTGAATTCAGTGGGAAACAATTTGCATATGCTTTATAGTGTATTGCTGGTTCTACAAGCTTATTCAAGTGTAAGTATGTATAGACGGGGTGTTTTAACTGATTATTGTACAAATGATATCTTGATCTCAAGAAGCACATGCAGCTCTTCTATCACCAAGTCTGTTTTTGTAAGTCATCCTCAGACCATTGGAAATTTTTATTTTTTTTACTCAAACCAAGCTGTGACACGTATTCCTGTTTATACTGTGGTTTTTGATGCTTTTCAGTGGTCTTTTGAAACAAATTAAGGAACCTATCAGATGCAGTGTTTGTGTAGCATCTTGTCTCTTTCTTTTGTAAATATTGGAGAAGCTTTTACCTTTGACTTAGGGATTGAATGTAACTGCTTACAAAATTGATATTAAAACTTCTCTGCTTGAAGGTGTTCTACATTTTATGTGAGCACACTTAAAGCCAAATAAATGTGAATGAGATTTGAATTGGTGTGTCTCTTTGTCTTACATTTTGCAAGAAATGAGTGACCATTATTGATTTTTAATCAGTTATGTTTTAAAAAAAAAGCTACTAAAATGTGGTGATCTCACCAAATCTGATGTGATATCTATAGTCATGGAAGTAGAAATGGTTGTTTTGAATCATGCCTTGCTTCCTACCAGGATTCAGCTCTACACTCCAAATGCAAGTAACTTGCTTTATTTACAGTCTTAAGGTTTTCCTGCTAACCCACCCAACAGGTGGCTTTGGTGTTCGCAAACCCATGAGCTGAGAAAGCCTTTTCCAAACCGTTGGCTTATTATACTATGTACTTCCTTTAGTGCAACCACTTTCTTTAACCTTTTAAAGGTGAAATCATTCTTTCATAGGGAGTGTACTCTGAATCGAACCCTGTGGCCCAACAGTGCTATTCAATACTACAATGACACCATAAAGCAGTACCTGAATGTATAGCAGCCCCACCCAAAGTTCTCCAAAGATCAAGTTCACACACATTTATACAGACAAAAAGAGGGAGCGAAATCTGCTGTTATTATTGTACAAATGATATCTTGATCTCAAGAAGCACATGCAACTCTTCTATCACCAAGTCTGTTTTTGTAAGTCATCCTCAGACCATTGGAAATTTTTATTTTTTTTACTCAAACCAAGCTGTGACACGTATTCCTGTTTATACTGTGGTTTTTGATGCTTTTCAGTGGTCTTTTGAAACAAATTAAGGAACCTATCAGATGCAGTGTTTGTGTAGCATCTTGTCTCTTTCTTTTGTAAATATTGGAGAAGCTTTTACCTTTGACTTAGAGATTGAATGTAACTGCTTACAAAATTTATATTAAAACTTCTCTGCTTGAAGGTGTTCTACATTTTATGTGAGCACACTTAAAGCCAAATAAATGTGAATGAGATTTGAATTGGTGTGTCTCTTTGTCTTACATTTTGCAAGAAATGAGTGGCCATTATTGATTTTTAATCAGTTATGTTTTAAAAAAAGCTACTAAAATGTGGTGATCTCACCAAATCTGATGTGATATCTATAGTCATGGAAGTAGAAATGGTTGTTTTGAATCATGCCTTGCTTCCTACTAGGATTCAGCTCTACACTCCAAATGCAAGTAACTTGCTTTATTTACAGTCTAAGGTTTTCCTGCTAACCCACCCAACAGGTGGCTTTGGTGTTCGCAAACCCATGAGCTGAGAAAGCCTTTTCCAAACCGTTGGCTTATTATACTATGTACTTCCTTTAGTGCAACCACTTTCTTTAACCTTTTAAAGGTGAAATCATTCTTTCATAGGGAGTGTACTCTGAATCGAACCCTGTGGCCCAACAGTGCTATTCAATACTACAATGACACCATAAAGCAGTACCTGAATGTATAGCAGCCCCACCCAAAGTTCTCCAAAGATCAAGTTCACACACATTTATACAGACAAAAAGAGGGAGCGAAATCTGCTGTTGGAGAACACACCTTGACCCCATGAAAAGACCAATATGCACAATAAAGACCAGGAGTCAAAGTTGAAGTTTAAATAGAGAGAGATCTCCACATCTCCAAAGGCTGCAGAAAAATTAAAGAATCCAGCCTCAAACTTAGGTTACAGAAACACTAGTATTTACAGCAGGGATTTGCAGAGAATTCCTAGGGGGCAAGTGCTCAAATGTAAAAAAGGGGCATTAATATACAGATTAATTCCAATTTAATAATTTATATAGTAAGATTATATATACAGTATATGTAGGCTCTCTCTCTATATATATATATATATATATACACACACAGTGGTGGCCAAAATTTTTAGAACACCTGACAGATCTGACCTTTTTTTTCCCCTCCAAAACATGATTTAATTTCTTTTTTTTTTCCTTTTCTTTTTTTGACATAGTGTCAATATACTGTATTTCCTGAGAACTTCAACACTAATGTTATCCCATTCCTTCTGCAACTCAAGCCAAAGGCTTTCCTTTGAATGTACAATAGATCTGTCCAGTTTATTTTCCAACTCACCCCAAATTTGTTCAATGGGGTTGAGGTCCAGACTTTGAGGAGCCGGTCCATCATTTTCAGTGTTTCAGCAGATTTCTTCCGTCGCAGGTAGTTCCGACAATAGTTCGTTTTCTGGATATTTTATGGAACAAAAACAACTGAAACCTCTTAAATATGCCAAGTGTTCTAACAATTTTGGCCACCACTGTGTATATACACACACACACATATCACATATGTATGCATAATTATAAAAATAAAGTCTTCGCATGCTCTTGAACTTGAACTGTTTATACTATATGTTACAGGCTCGTTAGTGGCACTTGGGCTTCATTTGGACAACAATGATAGTTTCATCAACCGGTAGTTCAAGCTGTCATGTCTAACGATATGAGCTTCTTCTTCAGAATGAACAATACCACCTTTAAAAAGTACAGTGGTAGCGCATCTTATCAGCTTCAAATGTCTATCAGAATGAACTACCACGTTAAAAGGATATAGATAATGCACACAATGCATTTCCAGTTTTAATTATTCCACTGTGGCCTCCAACAGGGCTGCTGTGGAACTCTTCAAACAATGTTCTGCATTCCTCTTTGCTCTGTACTGTTTTTCTTCTTCCGTATAGTATGCCATCTGCAACCATAGTTAAAAAGCTTAATTTATATATCAGATATAATACTTATTTTAAACTACCCTTGGTACAAAACTATACTGACTTCATACTAACCAGTGACTCTGAACTTTGCAGCGTATCGCTTCAAACTGTGCCGTTGTGACTTACTGTACAGTCCAGGGAAAGTATTTATAGTGAGGAGATTGAGAACTTCTCTGAATGCTTCCTCCATGATTACAATGCTGTCAAAAAAAGACAAATGACAAATCAAGTTTTTGTTATACAATTAATAAAAAAAAAAAACATAGCCAAACAAATTAAAGGTGCTCTAAGTCATTGGTTTTGGTATAATAATAGTAATAATAATAATAATTATTCACTTTAGTATTTAGAAGAAAAAATAATGCACCTTTAACAGAACTCATTGGGTAAAGCTTTATTTATACAGTACCTATTAAAACAGTATTTACAAAGTGCTTTATGGGGAAAATAGACATGTACATATGCATTCACAAAAAAAAAAATATATATATATATATATATATATATATAAACAACACCAGATAGACTGCTAGTTAATTTCATGTTACGCTAGCATAAAACCTTTGTTTTAGATTTTTGGTGTCATGTCAGTTACAAAATTCATAAAAGTTATTTGTGCTTATTAGTTCCACATGAGTAGAATCACAGATCATTCTAGTCTATTTAAAAATATATAGTTAGACACATTTCCTGAAGAATTACGGTTTTGCTTAGATGATGTTTAATCGTACCATGTATCAGAATCACAATAGTATTGTATAATTATTGGTAAAGACTCCTTTTTACAATAAAATACCATTTATTTCACACTGTAAAAAATGATCGTGATTTTAACAGTAAAAGACTGTACAAGTGCCACAGTAAAAACCTGTTAAATGATGTTAAATGATTAACAGTAAGTTTTCCTTACTATTACTGTGAATAACTGTAATAGATCTAACCTTGTTTTCGAGAAAGTAGCCTCAGAGTCAACACTCAGAAACTGTGTCTGAAATCACACCCTAAACCCTCATTCACTATTCCCTACATTAGTTTACTAATATTCAATTCAATTCAAGTTTATTTGTACAGCGCTTTTCACGATACAAATCATTGCAAAGCAACTTTACAGCAAATTAAGTTTCTACAATATTTAGTGGTAGCTTATCAGTGGTGACTGTCGGTCAATGTACATATGGCAGAAATGTACGGAAAAATCAATTAAAGACGTAATCAAACAGACGAAGAACACTATTAACAGCAATTATTATATGATGCAATCACCTGACAAAGAGAATGAAAACTAATTAGTGAATTCAACCAATGATGAACAGCTGCTGTTAACGAGCAGAATCTCTGAAGAAAAAAGCAAGGAATGAAACTACAACTGACTTCAGCCACAGTCTTAAATGAAATCAACTGAAATAAAACAGCAGATGATGATTAAACAATGCCACAATCAGCATTACCAGCTTCACTCATTACTAACCAGTTTGACTTTATTTCTGTCATATATCTACAAAACATTTTTGAGAATTAACCGAGGTTTATATTGTATTGAAAATGTTTTGTTTGGCCTCACCATTTTGGCGCTCTTGACCCTTGAGTCTTTATTATTTGTTTTTCTCTGCTGTTATTTCTGTGTTTGTAGAACACAGATATTGCAATGATGTGATTTATGATCTCAATTTGTGTTTAACTATATGGGTAAACTAGTTTATTGTTTACGGTACTAATATGACTCCACAAGATAAAATGACAAATTTCAAGTTGTCAAAACTCTTAGTGCTACAATCCCTTTCAGCCACACACAGACATCAAGAATCAGCACATGAATCTCAACAATGGTGACTATTAATTAAAAAAATAATAATTTAATCATGCATGTTGTACAAAACTCCCAGCATGCATTGCAGAAGGTTTTTTTTTTTTTTTATTGTCACCAATGTTGAGATTCATAGACTGAATGTTGATGTCTGTATGTGTTTAAGTTTTCCCATTGTTCAAAATTTTTGTTTGTGCATATTATGCTTAGAAATGTTTCACAATGATTGATTCCAGTTGTATCAGATGTGCAACTCAAGAGTGTTAATATTATTTCACACACATTTAAGAGATTAAACATTAGGTGAGATTAGGGCTGGACAATAATTCAATATCGATATGTATCGCGATATAATTCTTTTCAATAACGGTGATATGATTTTAAACACATTTCCGATATTTCAATATATATTACCCGTGTTTCCCATACATTGATTTA